CAAACGTGATCGTGAGTAGTAATATCCAGCACATAACGCCGCCAGTTTTTTTCTTCCCGTAATTTACCAACGAGTGTAGGGTTAGAGCTTCCTGACCACCAGCTGTTGAAAACGACTACAATACCGCTAAGTATTATCTGGTGCGAAGGAGGTCTCCTCCACACCTCCAAGCACCACAAATAAGCTCCATCAATTATGTTGCAAACCACCACATTTTGGGTCAAGAAAATTTAGAATATTTTTATGAAATTCATACGATTTCAACTATATAATAGCTACAATGGGTCAAACACCATCACAAGCGATCCACCAAGAAATTAGCGAAATAAGAAAAGAACTCACGATAATAAAAATAGCTATTAGTAATCTACCTTCAAATATCCGAGATAAACTAATGATGGATCAGCGTGATAAAAAAATATGCGCTGTGGTCGAACCTGCTTCAACACGTTTCGATACAGCCAGTTGTGATCACTAAATTCATCGCTTTGATGAAAGTATTTGTGAATGAATACGATCCGATTCATTAAACTTAAGCTAGCTCATCGAGTGCAGCCTTCAGCTTAGGCATCTTGTCATTAATGAAGTCATTTTTTTTCATCCACTCGATGTAGTTATCATCAATACCTTGGATCTGCTTAATGGTCTTGCCTTTGTACTTACCGAAAGTCATTAGAAACGATCCGTCATCGTTAGTAAATTTGGACTTCAAGAAATCGGCGACTGCTGGGTTGGAATCGATAAGAATCTTTTGATTCAGTAGCCAGCGGCAGTAGCCAGGATCAGATGCATATACATCTTCAATCAACTTGGACTTATGTTTGCCAAAACTCAATGTCGTGCTCATTATTTATCACTAGGTAGTCTATATACATACCCCCCATAATAATATTCTAAAAATATTAATTAATTAGACTTACACTCAGCGAAAGCTCGAATATATTTACATGGTAAGCAAATCACTTGTGAGCAGCTGAGAAGCTAATTTAAGACGAGCTAGAATTGATAACATTTTTTGCTTCACGAAATAGCAACGAGAGCTTAGTTAGCGGTGTATTCCAAAATTTCGCCTGTCAAACGATTATAAGTCATCTCGTTCTCAAATCCGACAAGTACCAACATATTCGTACCCTGCGTTGAGGCGTTCGTTCCCATGACTTGGATGCTCTGTGGGACATCCTTCTCGGTCAAGCGAGATACATCAGCTACGAGCAC